AATTCTACATTCTACAGTAGGTACAGTAGCACTTTCACACTAGTTACACACCATGCTACTTTTAATTGGATATAGTGCATAATAAATGATAAAATTGTTAAAGTGACATAATTTCTAAGTTTACAGCCATTCTGTTTCCAGGTTGAACCAGGATGGGACTGTAATAAGATTCCCAAATTTAACATGTTCAACACTGCCTTGGTAAATGTTCCATTAGCATTTTCCATTAGCATTTTAGGGTGTTTAGGTACAGTACCTGGTTGATCTTCTCCCCAATTTTAAAGTTCTCTGCTGCATATCATTCCCTGAGGTCTGATTATGTACTGTTAGTCTGAGAAGAAGTCATGGAAGGTCAGTATTTCTCCCCCTGCACCCTACATTTCTTACCACCTTGGGAGAAAATGGTTGAACATGCAGAAAACTACAGATCCCAGGATTCCATGTGATGATAGTCTGCTGGTATTGGAAGCAATCATGTGGCATTTCAGCAGAATGCATAAACCAACAGCACACATACAGTACACAGGTACAGTAAGTGTAGACGCCTTAGGTGAGAGAGAAAAGGAAACTTTTCCTACTTTCTAAGCTGCAAAAATAAAGGAGAAAAATGGCAGCTACAGATCCCTGTTTTCAAAATGTCATAGTAAAAAATTCTACTGATTTTCTTAGATGGAACCAGTTGGAAATGACAAACTTATTGATCATCTGGGGAAAAAAACAAGTGACAGAGAAACACATCACATCTGCAGTACTTATTATTTAACTTGTATGTTTTCCATCTGTCAGAGAAAAACTGTTACCAAGAAAGAAAATAAACTAGAGAACAAACTCTCTTTAATAATATTTTACTTTTGGCTCTACTGCAAATAAAAGGTTGTGGTAGATGGCAAACATTTCTGGAGGATATATGTGAAACATTCAATTTATTAAAATAATGTTAATGCATTTGAAACTGATACTAAACAAACTCAAAGCACTACACACATAATTCTGGCTGCATACATGATACACAAAAAAAGCAAAAGAAAGTGGTGGGAAAAACACAGCGCACTGACTTTCTGAACCCAAGAGTAAAACTAAATTATGCATTAAAAGTTTCAGTGAAAAGGTCTTTAAGTGAGTTTTGAAAATGTCATCAGTCACAGAGTATCTAATGGATTTTGACATGTTGGGAAATGAATTTAACTGACATAGTGCTACACCAAGGAAGTCTCAATTGCTCATTGTGTGGATTCTGGTCTAGGATGGAGGTCCAAATTAGCAGACCTAAGATTAATAAATCCTCAGGATAATCTGGATTTGAACTGTACATTACTCTATATGTTACCAGGAGAATTTTAAAATCCACTTTAAATTTCAGTGGGATCCGATTAAATTTACTGAAGACTGGAGCTATAGTATTTGCTGATGCAGAGTACAGTCATCACATGAGACTTCAAATTCTGAATAGATTAAACAAACCTATTCAGTATCTTAATTCTGTATGTAAGGGTTTAAGCAATCCAGTATACAGTAAATTAAATATATGTATGAATATTTCAGCTTCACACAAGCTGAAATATTACTCTGGTCTCTTCCAAGCAATGTTATGCAGGTGAATAAAAGATCCTTTGTGACATTCCTAACATATATTTCCATTCAACACAAAGAGTCAGAAGAAACGCTAAGATTTCCAGCTTTCATCAAACTTTTGATTTTAGAACTGAAGTCATCAACATTGTTAATCTGACCTTGGAAGCCTTAGAGCACAATCTCACTCTTGTCTTACTTTAGATTAAGTAAAGAAAGTTTCCAGATTTCACTATCAGACAGAGACTTATAATGTGCAGAAACCGCAGCTGTAGTATCTGACTTTATCTTCAAATGGTGACCAAAAGTAAATATGTAAATACTAAATGCTAAAGGCCATGTAGTGATTTAAACATATTTCATAATTAGGCTGCAAATAGATCTTGGTCCTTTTCCCACAAAGCCCTTATATTCATATTACATCATGCTTTCATGAATCATGTCTAGAGTCTGAAGCCCTCTGCTCTTTATTTTTTTAAATAATAATGGAAAGAAAGAAATAGAAACCAATATCTGTTTCCCTCATTTAAAATATCCTGAGTTGACTAAAGCACTCCCAAAACTGAATATTGTTTTTCCTTCACTATTGCAATTTCTCTTAGAAGCCCTTCAAACCAGATCTCTTGTTAATCATCATCAGTAGAAACATCATCGGCAGCTACCTTTGTCAGTCCATGGCAAAATTTAATGGCTCCTTTTTAAGTTTAATTTGAGATTGTTTTCTTTCTCCCAAAAAGATTTTTAGAAAAAGATCTTCCATGAGGCCACCTTCTTGGTCAGTTCTCATATTTTGATTTCCACTGCCTTGATGTGCTCCAATTCTGACATTGATGTCTCCCGTGATGGTTTTTTTTACACAGTGATTCCCATTTTGAGCCAGACTCTACTTTAACTTATATATATATATAAAGAAACGAGTGACGGTTTATTCCATGCTGAAATTCCATGAGCACAGGTATGGTTTGTGCCTGTGGGCTGTGGAGCCTTCTTGACACCTGAAAAAGGCTCCATAGGCAAAACTGTCTCTTTTCTTTTCATTTCAACATGGAATAATCCTTTATCCGTTCCTTTGTGGCCTACACATGCCAATGCAGCTACCTATTTGAACTTCATTAATGTTTTTAGGCCTTCTAACATCTTTGTCAGAAAATTGCTTGCTTCTATAACATAGTTGGTTGATCTGTGATTTAGAACTTCGATTCCAAGATTTGCTGTCTATCTAAAGTACATTTTAGCATATCGTTCTTCTTGCTCTTGTGAATAGTGAAACCAATATCTACCTTTTATCATTTAATACTAGAATATTTATCTCCAGCAAGCCTATTCCTTACAATCTTGTTCGGTTTTTGTCATCATTTTTTGTGTGATTTGACCCCTACTACTTTTTAAAATACGATTTAAAGGTAAATTCTTAACGTCATATATAATTTAGTCCTCTGCTAGCCTGTCGATAGTGTTTAACTCAAAAAGAGAAAAACATCTTCATTGTTCAAATTGAAAAGTAAATTTCAAATTAATCATACTTAAGAATCACCTCAGATTTTTTAGTTCATTTCTGGATTGAAAAGCTCAGTGATGTCTCTCATTCTTTGAAGATGTCTCTCATTCCTTGAAAAGATGGCAGGGGGCATCCATTTAAAACCTCTCTCACTATGGTTAAACAGAAGACATGGACTTTCCCAAATTTGATATAAATTCTACTAAGCTTTTCTATACTGCAGCTTTTGATCAGCAGTAGAAATCTTCCAAAACCAAAAGCACAATATTTTTTAGTTAGGAAGTACTCACTCTGAAAGCACAATTGAGAAAGCACATAATGTATAGTTTAAAATTAGTATGTAGTGTATATCGTATGTGTTCTGTTACTTGTAATTTTGCACTCTTACCTTTATTTTGTTCAGCTACAGACCATTTTTTTTACAGTTCAGAATTTCCATTTTTTTAAATCCTACATTTCTATTTAGGGAATACATCTGAGAGGGTAACAGTGACTTTGAAAGAAGTTCAATGGTTGAGATGAGAGAAATTGTGCCTTAGTAAACAATATCCCAGTCTTTCCACAAAGATATTCTGTATGAAAACTCACCACCTATCCTGTATGGAGTTTGCAACAAAGTATTTAAGTAATACTACAAACATATGACAAAAGGTTTGTGTTCAGACAAGACAAGGCAAAGTTGAAGCTTGCTGATCTTAATGAAAAGAGTTACATTGGACTCAAATCCAACATACAGTAGTACTGTACATAACACAATCAAAATCCATCCCTGCTGTCAAGGTGATTTTGACAGCATAATGTTACAGTAGTTACACTAGTTGTGTTTCTCATCAGCAGGGACTGAGAAGCATGCAAGACTGATGGGGACAGAGATAGAGAACAGTACTGGGAAATTCTATTGATAAACCTGCTTCAGATCTGAAACTGCAACACAAATTCCTCTTTCAGAAAGGCAATGACATAAGGCCCAAAGCCAAAGCTATACTGGAGTAAGAATAGGTGATCTTAAGTGGTCCAGCCTAAGTAGTGACTTGAACCCTATTGAGAATATGTGAAGAGAACAGAAAACTAAACTCTTTGAGAACTTAATTTTCCATCCAGACATAGTAATAGGTTATGTTCAGATAATTTGCACACAGTAGAGAGTACCTGGCTTTGAGCATTATCATAAAGGAGCTTGCTGTCTTATTTACTTTCAGATTCTAATTTCCTATGTTGTGGAATTCTCAGGCTAAATACCTGTTTTAGTGACAGATGACACGATAAAATATGGAAATTAGTTTCCATGTTCAATTTCCTCAAGAGAGGGAGATTTGGGCCTGGGTAGGATCCATTTTTATTAGAATCAGGTTTCCTTTCTTTGGCCTGTCAGTTCTGCAATAAGTACACACAAGAGGTGTGCAAAAAGTGTCAAAACACACTTTTTTACAGCCTTAACACAGTTAATTGCCTCTAGCACTGCCAGTAGTCAATGCAATAGTAATCATAAGGGATTTTTTATGCTTTGTTTTATTTTTTGGAAGGCAGGACCTAGGTTTTGTTTTGTTGTGTCTTCGGATTATAGGGAGAGAATTCTTAGATTTTTCTGAAATAAGTAGGACGCTGAAAATCACTGATTATACAGTACATATCTTTCTGCTGAGTTGATTGTATACACTGTAGTTATTTTTTTAGTATAATAAATAAGTTCTTAAGTTTGGGCCTGACTATTATTCCCTCATCAGAAGTAATGAGCAAAATAGCACTTGGTTATTTCCCACGTTGTATTTTTGCAACAATATCTATAATTAGAATTTGCCAGTGATTGATTAAAATCACACAGCACATGGGTGAGATATCTCAGGAAGATGTTCTACGCCATTAATAATTTCTAAATGACTGAAACGATGTAATTAACCCATTTAATAATTAACTAATTTAATACAAAAAGACAAAACTTTAATGTTTATTTTATTGTGCTTACTGACATTCTTACCAGCATTTTCCGTTATAAAATTGAGAAAGATTCAATGTGTATTGTTAGTTTGTGTGGCTTGCAGGATAATATTTAGCCTGTTCATCCTGGAAAATCCACAATGGTGTAAAGAATGGTCTCCAGTCTGATCCACTGCACTGTTCACATCATGAAGAATGCAACAAAGAGAAGTGCGGAGAGGTACATGATGATGAAAGTCAAGCACATGGCTCTAACAATCAGCACCCATACACTAACCTCCTGTCTCTGGCCATTCTCCTGCCAGCACTGGACATCTCTGGAGATGTGGTGCTGTTTAAAGCGTTTGTGCAGGGGAACACCTGTAGAGCCGAGTGTGAGCCATATCTGGTGGCTCCCAACTCCCTCCTCTGCTTCTTCCTCAAAAAGAATATCTTCCGTGGGTTGTAAAGGTTTCCAGAAAGGGCACTCCTGAGGAATGCAAATGTCTAAGGAAGCCCACAGACCTGATGGTTGTAGGCCAGAGAGAAACTCAAGCAGCACAGAAGAATGGCCTGGATCTTGTTTGGATCCTGGTCTTGACTGGGCTAATACAATCTGGCAGAAGCTCCTCTTCATTCCTTTGCGGATTTTCCACAGCCTTGAAGGTAAGATGTGTGATCAGGGGAATGTCACTGTTATAGAACAAAATATGCTTTGACTGCATGGTCATAATATGACCTACTACAGCATTAGACATGTCTGGGGATGCATGATAAAGTAAGATGAGGCATGCTAGAACTAGCACTCTCATTTATTGAGGCTTAAAGCATTGACATGGTCACTTAACTATACAGTACCTAGTAAAAACATCAGTATGTTGAGTACCTTGAGGTCAGGCTCCTGAGGGGCAAAGCATAAAATATTGATGACGACATTACAAAATCTGTGTTTTAACTAGGCAAATTTCTTTTTTTTCAGGTTTGAGATGACTTTAAAAGATAGTGTAGGAAATTTGCTTCCTAGGACTTGTAATAATGTGACTCATGGAGCTGTTTGTAAAATAAAATTAAAACAAATACAATGGAAAACACTTACTGGTGGAGACAGAGACGGGGGAGAGTCTGGAGCAGATCAGAAACCGTCATGAAGAAGCTTCTCAGCAGGCTCCTGATATAAGATTCCAGACTCAAGGACACTGCTCTCTGGAAGAGCCGCTCCACCTGTTCTCCATTCTTCTCTGGGACTACGCTGGTAATCTCAATGATCAGCTGGATAAATGTGGTCACCAGGAGCATACTCACCTTTTTCGGGACACAACTGAGACTGATCACACAATGCATCATGAGATTTTTTATTTTAATGATTCCATAGGTCCAGGCAGTGGAGACGATTGAAGGTAGAGCTGAGAAGGCTGTAATAAGATCAGGGTGGAAATATTTTCTAACCAAAAAAACAGAGCATTCACTGTAAAGACTTTTCAACAGATGTGCAGCTTCAGTGACAAAAGCACCTTGGGTTGTAAATACTGTGGCTGCACAGTCCAATAGAGCTCCCCATACAGATAACACAGGAAACAATATCCAAGTTCTCAGCGAGTTCCAGCAGTAGAAAAAGATGAGGGTAAGGGTGTTTTGATGTATGATTCCTTTCATCGAGGTCAGGAACAGGTGGGAAGAATAAGTTCTCCGAGACCCCACTGACTGGTTTTCCACATTTCCTGAAGCATCTGTGGATTGCTCCTGCATGTTTTCATTCAAAGGAACTTGTATGACCATCTCATACTTACAACATAACCCAAATGCTAGGACCTGCTTTTTGGGAGAATCCAAAATACTGGTGTGTTTCAAGACATTACAAAACATTAAATAAAACTTAGCTCTTTCTTTTCCTTGCCATTCATCATGGATCTGTACTGGTCTTTTTAAATATATGATTGGTCATTGAAATGCAGTGATGATAATTTCAATCAGCTATCCAGAGCAACTCATTCTATGACAAGACTCATTATGATGTCACAATCCTTGTGACCACCTTGTATTGCCAAAGGTGATTTATATAATCTACATACAAAATGGCAGCAAGAAAAGTACTGTTTAATACAGGTTCTTCTTATTGTCTGATACTTTACTTTTCCTCATCATTTGTAGGCATAATGGAATTCTCTTATAATGGATAAAATAGTCAACCTGTGATGACAGAGGTCAAAATCTGTAGCATTTTTAACCCAATTACTGGAATTATTTTTATCATGTAAAAAGTTAACAAACAAGTTTACTTTTTTAGTTATCTGAATAATACTTCAGATCTTGAATGATTAACAATATTATTTTAAATTCAGTTACCCCCCACCCAAAAAAGAAAGAAGTTGTTGTACTGCAAAAATCAATATGAACGATAAGATGAGCTATACACACATTTTCTCTACTAATGTTTTTTTATTCAATGCTCCCAAAGTTTCAGCATACAAATGTCCTGATCAGGCTTTTGTATACCAAAATGTTAATAAATGTTATTGGCATGAAAGAGTGCCAGTAACCTTGTTTTGTGCAAGAATGAAGCCATTTTACTAATTTTACTATTTTAATATCAACCAACCATGTACGGTATCCATCCAATTTCTGAGTGTTTATCCTATTAAGAGTCAAGACACTTAAATAATATCTGAAATACTGTATACATGTGCTGTTAGAATACTACAATGTACATAAATTAATTGCTTTTATTTGGTTACTGTCATGTTTTTAATATTGCTTCGATTTCCAGTGCTCTATGGTTTCATGATTTCTGCTATTTTATCTCAGTGAATGCATAATAAAATAATATTTTTTAAACAGTCTTTTAAAACCCTATAAATATTTATTCTAGATACAAGCCCATCCCTACAATTATGTGCTGTTTGAAAGACTAAAACCAATTGTACAAAGTCATTTACACCAATTATTCTAACTAGTCCTCACAGTAAATAATTCGTATTTAGGTTTGTGGAGCAAACACCACATGTATTGTTTGTTTTCTTTGGCTGAATGCTTTAAGGATATTATTTGCTTTGGCTGAATGCTTTAAGGATATTATTTGCTTTTCTGCTGTCTTTCCTTGCAGTAGGGTGATGTGAGCTGTTCAAGATGAACATGACATGAAAAGGAGACTTTTCACACAGAGTAAAGGTAGGCAACCCCTTATATGACATAAATGGAAGCTGTGAAGAAAATGACCCCGATGTGTATGGCAAAAAAAGCACATCCACAGCTTTTTTGGATATGAAATCTAGGTCAGGAAAGAAAAGTTAGCAGGAGCCAGTGTGTATAAGCTTGTTAAATAAAGCAAGAACAGAGCTGCCCTGAGGATTCAATCATTCTAATCCCAGATGTGGGAGCTTACTTTTGATATACAAAAACCAGAAGTGTTGCTGGAGTGTAAGATTTTTGTTTTACATTTACAGCTTCTGCGTCACAATTCTGTGCACATTGGGTATAATGTCTACAAAACAAAACCACGCAGAAGCAAAATCACAGACCTATTTTTATTATCATTTTTGTAACCGTATAAAAAAAAACATACAGTAGCTTGTTTTTGATCATTATAAAGGGTGGCCAATATTGTAACAAAAAAACAATAACATCAACACAAACCCTGAGCATTTTATCAATGTCCTTCTACCAATGTAGGTTCAATTTATGCAAGACCTGAATTTTGCTCTATTACATTTTCTGCTCCAGTTACTTTTTTCCCCACAGGGAACAAAGATCCCTAGCAACTAGGAGATGGTGAGAAGAAGTGGCTGGGAATTAGACTAATTACTTAGCGGCGTGAGGAATTCCAGTTGTTGTTTTTTTTTGTGGAGCTGACTCCACATTTATCAAGTGTTAAAGGACAAAAGAACAGTTATTTCTGTTGCCATTCCAGTTGATCATCATCACATCACTTTCAATAACAACTTAACCATTTCAGGGTCACGGTAGCCTGGAGCCTATCCCAGCAAGCACTGGGTGCAAGGCAGGATACATCCTGGAAGGGGACACTAACGCATCGCAGGATACACACACACACAAACACACACGCTTACTCCAGGGCCATAGCCAATCAGCATACTGTATCTCTGGACTATGGTAGGAAACCAGAGCTCCCAGAAGAAACCCATGTACAGTAGATAGTAATTCAAACACACGTAATTCAAACCAGTGCTCTAAGTAATGCGAAGCATCAATGCTAACCACCGTTCTGTTCTTTAGGAGAACATATGCAGTCTAAATTGCTTTTTTAACCTGTGAAGAAAATTGTGAGTTTAAAAGTAAAAAAACATTCCCCTGAGCATTTGCATTCAGGAATTTGCACAGTGACCAAAGTATTAAGAGCTCTCTTCATGTACAGTAGAACAGTTATGATCCAATGTTGAAGGGAATATTCAACAGTGGAGTCAAAGTGCCAGATGTGAGAAATGTTAAAATATTTCTATGTAAGTTTCAGTCTGAAAGATGAGAAGGGCTATTGCATTCCACTTTCAAGACATTACTCTGTGGATATCAGAAAATGTATCAAACGATCTTCCTATATTGTAGGAGCACATGCTTGATGTGATGATTCAGCCTGGGTTTACTGCCACATGTGAAACATATCAGAAACATACTGAGGAAAACTGCTGTAAACTCCAGGAAATTGGATGTGTTTACTGATGGTTTAATTAAACTTTTCAAGTTTTTTTTTTTAGGTTAACATTATTTTATTGTGAACACAATCTGAAAATGAAACCTGAAAAAATAAATTTGAACATGTATTTTTCATAATTCTGATTAGTAATTTTTCTATCATCACCCTGTCATTGTTTTCACAAGTAGCAGAGCTTATTATCTGATGCCTCACATTTACAGTGTAGACTACAGGAAGCCTGGCTTTATTTTTTTATTCTTCACGAATACATATTTATAATTTAAATTTATGCCTTGGGCAATTTCAATAACTCAGTATGCTGACCTTAAAAGATTGCATTAAAAAGGGATGGCTGTGCACTTTCTTTGAATTGAGAACTGTACATGTTTAAAACAGAAAGTGTAGGAAGGGACACTAACTCTTTTAGCAGTTTGTTTTAAGACTTTTAAGTCATTTACAAACTTGCAATATAAATGTAAACAACCTTCCCACCAGATTATTTAACATCCAGTCTACCCAACAATTTAAAGCTGAGAGTTTGTTTGCTAAAACAGGTTCCAGTCTATGAAAAAAGAAATCAAGTCAATTCCAGCTGCATTCTCCCACACACATGGGAGGTTTCATTTAACATACTGACTGCCTGTCCGTATACTTAAACATTCCCTAAGCCCACAAAGTCTCCCTACTGTATCCATCACCCCTTTTGCAAGCCAAACAGAGCTTTGATCATTTCCAGTCAAAGTTCTCCAGATGCTCTACTTGACTAACTCCAGGCACAGCTGTATACCAGTAGACTTAATTCCAGAAGGCATGGGGATAGGCTAAGATGTTAGAGTCAGTGCTTCCGAGATGCAGTGAATCAGACCATTTAAAAAGTGGGGGGAAGGGAGTGCAGAAAGAAGATTAACACACTGAGCCATATAATTGTGAAGCTGTGAAAAATGAAAATACAAAGACCAAAGACTGTGCAAATTTAAAATACCAATCAAAAAGACCAGGGACAACATAGAGAACAAGGAGAGCTCAAAATGAAATAACATTATTATTATTATTAAATGAAATAAATATAAAATACACAGGAAACAGAAATGTTTAATTATAAACAGTACCTAACTAATAACAGTATCAAGTATGCTAAAGAAAACATTCTGTTTTGGGCGGATTATAAAATCAAATTATCACCAAAACTTAAAATCTTAACATCATGTGGTCTCTATATACAGTATGGATTTACAATTCAGACAGGGATACGACCACTAGAAAGAAATCTTTGGTACAGTACCTACTTTGAGTAGGTAAAAGGGGATAATATAGAGTAATCTTTAAGCCTTGGGCTTGTAACTGACAGGTTATGGGTTCAAGTCTGCACTACAGACACTGACTTGACCAAGGTATTTCATCTTAGTTGCTCCAGCTGTATGAGTTGGAACCAGGGCTGCTAGACATGGCCTTTTCCTTTGTCTAGTAGAAACCAAATAGATTAAAATCAACGCTAACAGTACTTGGTGTAGCTGTCTTGAGAGATGCATTTTAAATTATATTATTGAAAAGGTGTTTGATTTGGGTTAATCAAATTAGGCCACTTAAGTCAGTAAGGATGTGAGTGGAAGAAAAGCTAGACTGAAACTGCTATGTGAGTTTGTAAAGGAAGTTGTATTTTATGGGGCAAATTTGGCAATTCCAAGTATATAGAATTAATATTTAATTTCAGGAGCTTCCTTTAGAACAAGTATTATTTGGATCAGCAATACACAATACACAAAACAAGTAGATGTTGGCTGCACACATTTGCAGTTTGTTTTTAGCTATTTCTGACAGCAGCACAATGATATTTGGGAGGCAAAATTCCTGGCTGATGTGTAAGCCTTTGATTACCAGTTACCATTAGTTTAAATATGACTTCCCTAGATCTGCCATTAGGTGCCTTTCACAATATAGATGACAAGTACATGTACATCATAAAAAGCACCCTATAATTAAGCAGTGACTGATTCAGTGACTAAGTTTACAGGAGATTGAATTTACAGAAAGACAGTCTTCCAGTGAAGCCCTTAGGATCACTTTTTCTTGCAGCATTTCATCTTCCTCCTAAGTCAGTAATACAAATGTGCTATAGTGACAAAAAACAGAATTAAAGATAAGCAGTATCACACAGTATTACTTTTTATAGATTGTGCCGGGCTTGTGTTCCAATTTCTGTAAGTCAAAATATCTGTCAAATGGCAGGTCCATGCATTATGCAACATACATTTCCATGCATTCTTTAACCAGTTATTGTAATTTTT